CGGCGCCGTTGGAGTGCGGAACTGCCTGCTCGCCCGCCAGCAGTGCGCCGACGACCCCTCCTGCAGATCCGTGCTTGAGATCATCCCCCGAGTGTGCGGGCCGGAGAACGGTAAGGCTGCCGCTCGGCCGAGGGCGGGCTCTTGCTTAGTTGTTTGTTTGATTTAGGTATTTGTTTGTTGTTATTATTGTTATTGTATGTTATTGTCGTTTTCATTTTAATTTTCATTTCCAATGGCATTGTCATTGGCATTGTCATTATCATTATCATTGTCATTGTCATTGTCATTATTGTCACTGTCATTGGCATTGTCATTATCATTAATCACCATTATTATTATTGTCATTATTGTTACTATTACTACTACTATCATTATGGTTATTATTATCATCATAATCATTATTTTCATTAGTAGTAGTAGTTGTAGTAGCAGTAGTATTGCTGTTATTATAATGTTGCTTTCGGAAAAGTGATGTTGTTTTTCTTGTCATTGTTATTATCATTATTATCACGGTTGCTGTTATTTTTTTCAAATAATTATCATCAATTCATCATCTTCATTATCATTTTCAGTATTCTTACTGTCATCTTTTCATTCTCTTTATCATACAACATTATCGAAAATATCCCTCACAGAAATAAACGAATATATCTAAAAAATATACCAACCAAAACCAAACAAAAAACAAGCAAATAGAACAAAAACAAAACGAAAATAGTCCACAGGAAATGTAAAGGCGAGACCCAGAGTTCCCATCCAGTGATAGCTGGTTTCTTGCACCATCTCCCAGCTTGCTCCAGAGACTTTACCAAGATGGATCTTACATGTGTTTGCTCCAGCTGAGACGGAGAGTGTCCCCGCGCGAGGCTACTGAACCGAGGCCGGAAACGGTTAAATGAAAAGCTTTGGAAATTTCCTTTTTCCTTCTGTTTTCTTTGCTCTCTGGTGTTGTTTCTTTCCAAACTCCGTATATCTATGTATCTGTCTGTCTGTCTATTTGTCAGTCTGTCTGTCTATCTCTCTTTCTTTTTATGTATTTATGTGTCTGTGTACCTGTCTTTCTATATATATTTCTATTTATTTATCTATCAATTTGTCTATCTATCTGTCTATTTATCTATATATCTGTCTGTCTGGCTGGCTATCTATCTATCTATATATCTTTATCTATCTATCTATCTATTTATATATCTTTATCTTCTATCTATCTATCTATCTATCTATCTATCTGTCTGTCTGTCTGTCTGTCTGTCTGTCTGTCTGTCTATATATATATATATATATATATATATATATATATATATATATATATATATATATATATTGTGTTTCTGTCTGTCTATCTTACTATCTTTCTATCTGTCTTTCTATCTCTCTCTCTATTCATCTTTCATATTTACTTTTACATTATGAAATATGACACGATTGTACATCCAGTCGCGTTATTTTCAAACATTTAAATATCCACTTTCCTATATCCGTGAAAATTAGAGTCCCGCTAACCGAAGCTCGACTCCGCCCCCCCCAAAAAAAAAAAAAAAAAAAAAACGGAGTCGGGTAAAGGTCGGGTAAATTAACTTCACCGAATGTCGGGGGACGGGAAGCCAGACGAAGGAGTGGCCCGAATATGGCGCCCGAAGTTGTTGTTTTCAGTGCCCTTGCGTTCCCGTTGAAGCCAGGGAAGCACTTGCAATCGAGTGTGGTGGTTTGAAGTGTGGTGGCCAAATATGTCTCGATGATGTTAATGGTCTTTTCTTTTTTAGCTTTGGGATTTTTTTTTCTCGGTCTGTCTGTCATTCTCTCTCTCTATTTTTCTTAGTCTCAGTCTCAGTCTCAGTCTCTGTCTCTGTCGCTCTCACTCTCACTCTCACTCTGTCGCTCTCACTCTCACTCTCACTCTGTCGCTCTCTCACTCACTCTGTCGCTCTCTCACTCACTCTGTCGCTCTCTCTTCTCTCTCTCTCTCTCTCTCTCTCTCTCTCTCTCTCTCTCTCTCTCTCTTCTCTCTCTCTCTCTCTCTCTCTCTCTCTCTCTTAGTCTCTGTCTCTCTCTCTTTCTCCTCCTCCTCCTCCTCCTCCTACTACTACTACTACTACTACTACTACTACTACTACTACTACTACTACTACTACTACTACTACTACTACTACTACAACAACTACTCCCCCCACACACTCCTCCCCTCTTCATTCCCGACTCCCCTCACCCTCTTCCCCAACTCCAGGCTCGTACGTATGTACACTCCGAGGGCCACAAAGAGCATTGAGAACGAGATCAGACCGAGATGAGAAAAGGAGAAAAAAAGATAACAAAACTTAGAGCATTTTTTAAATTATTATTTAATGTAATATTCCGAGCATCCTCTTGTTTACCTGCTTTTGAAATATTCATTCATCTTTTTTTCGTAGTAGTAGTAGTAGTAGTAGTGGAGATAAAGCAATCTTCACTCGGGAATATTTATGTTGTGTCTATATATCGCTGTTGTTCTTTCATTCTCTCCCTTTTGTTCTCTCTCTTTCATTCTCTCTCATTCGTTCTCTCTCTGTCAATCTCTCTCATTCGTTCTCTCTCTATCACTCTTTCATTCTCTCTGTCTATCCATCTATCTATCTATTTACTTATCTTTAGCTATCTAGCTGTCTGTTTGTTCATTTATCTGTCTATTTATCTATTAAACTATCTGTATGTCGTTAATCGATTTGTCTGTCTATCTGTCTCTCGATCGCCCTCTCTCTCACTCACTCTCAATCTCTCTCTCTTTTTCATTTTTGCTTATATCTTCTTTATACCTCTTACACTCTTACCCTTCTTTGTCATCTCTTTCACACACACACACACACACACACACACACACACACACTCACACTCACACTCACACTCACACTCACACACACTCACTCACACTCACACTCACACTCACACTTACACTTACACTTACACTACACTTACACTTACACTTACACTTACACTTAACTTACACTTACACTTACACTTACACTTACACTTACACTTACACTTACACTTACACTTACTCTCACACTCACACTCACACTCTTACACACACTTTACACAAGCGACCTGCAACGCACTCTCGCTCAGAAGACACGCCCCCAGTGGCACCGCCAGTATAAGCGACAACCGCTGTAACACGTCCGGCCCTGACATACGCATCTTAACAATTAGGCCGAACTGTCAGAGTTACTCGGTCCCGCTGTTGAAGGGGAGGAGGATCGGGGGGAGGGAGGGAGGAGGGGGAGGGAAATAGTGGGGGGGGAGAAGAAGGGAGGGGAGGAGAAGTAGTGGGGGGGGGAGAGTTTGGGGGAAGAAGGGGAGGAGGAACAGGAAGAGAAAGGGAGGGGAGGAGGAGGAGGAGACGGAGTAGTGGGGGGGAAGAGATGGGAGTAGGAACGGGGAGAGGAAGGGGGGGAAGAGGAGAAGATGTATTGCGGGGGGGGGGAGAAGAGGTTTTGGAAGAAGGGGAAGAATAGAGGGGGAGGAGGAAGGAGGGAGGAAGTAGTAGTGGGGGAAAGAGGTTGGGGGAAGAAGGGGAGGAGGAAGGGGAGAGAAAGGGAGGGGGAAGAGGAGAAGATGTATTGCGGGGGGGGGGAGAAGAAGGGAGGAGGAACGGGGAGAGGAAGGGAGGAGGAGGAAAGGAAATAGTGGGGGGGGGATAAGGGGTGGAGGAACGGGGAGGAGGAGAAGAAGTAGTGGGAAAGGGGAGAAGGGGAGGAGAAAAATAGTGGGTTGAGGAAGAGGTTGGAGAAGAAGGGAGGGGGAGGAGAAGATATTGTGGTGGGGGGAAAGAGGTTGGGGGAGGAAGGGGAGGGTAGAGGGGGAGGAGGAAGGTGGGAGGAAGTAGTAGTAGGGGGGAGAGATGGGAGAAGGGGGGAGGGGAAAGGAGGGAAGAAGTAGAGATGGGGGGGGTAAGGGGACGGAAGGAAGGAAGGAAGAAAAGTAAAGAGGGATAGGAGGTAGTAAGGGAAGAAGGACAGGCAAAAGAGGTAAGGCTTCCTGCCGTACCTCTTTTGCAAAGGAAGATAAAGGGGGAAGAAGTGGGGAAGGAGGGAATAAGGCAAGGAATTGAGGGATAGGAGGACTGGAAAGGAAAATATGGAAGGGCTGGGAGAGGGAGTCAAGAAGAAAATGAAGTGGGGAAGAAAGAGAGAGGAAAGAGAAGGGGTGTAGGGGAAAGGCAAAGAAAATTCAGAGATAAAAGAGGAGGGAGGAGTAGAGGGAAAGGAGAAAGAAGAGGAAGAGGAATAAAAAAAAAAGAGGAGACGGAGGGAGGGTTTGCGAAAGTAGTTAAGCAGTTTTTGTTTTGTTGATCTTCTTCGCTTCGTTTTTGCAGTTTGCCCTCAGACGCTCTTTTTCGTTTACTTTTTATCTTGCCTTTGCAACTGTCAAGCTGTCTGTCCATCTGCTTCGGGCCCTGTTTCTAACGCTCTCTCCCTGTCTGTCTCTGTCTCTCTTCTGTCTCTCTGTCTCTCTGTCTCTCTGTCTCTCTGTCTCTCTCTCTCTCTCTCTCTCTCTTCTCTCTCTGTCTGTCTCTCTCTGTCTCCTCTTTATCTGTCTCTGTCTGCCTCTGTCTCTGTCTCTGTCTCTGTCTCTGTCTGTCTCTGTCTGTCTCTGTCTGTCTCTGTCTGTCTGTGTGTCTGTCTGTCTGTCTGTCTGTCTGTCTGTCTGTCTGTCTGTCTCTCTGTCTCTCTCTCTCTCTCTCTCTTCTCTCTCTCTCTCTCTCTCTCTCCTCTTCTCTCTCTCTCTCTCTCTCTCTCTCTCTCTCTCTCTCTCTCTACTCTTATTATATATATATATATATATATATATATATATATATATATATAATATATATATATATATATATATCTCCCTCTCTCTCTCACACAAACATATTCATTTATCAGTTACGTATTTTTCTCACCATCCTCCTATTTCTCTACATCAACTAATGAGACAGCGTTGAAAATTAGCTAAAGTTAAGTAATGATATCAACCAAAGTTAATGTAATGAAGCAAGCAATTACTCAAAGAGAATAATGGAAGACGAATTAGCCAAGATAAACGACTTGAGAATCCAGAATTAAAGGTCAAACTAAAATATAAGATCAATATA